TTTATACTAAAACAATTAGTCGCCTCAGGCTCGGTGATTACAAGCCTATATTCACTTCGCCTTCGGCTCAGTGAATATAGGCTTGTAATCACCTCGCCTTCGGCGACTAATTGTTAAATAGATAGCGAGAAAAGTAGCCAATCAAATTACAGCATTTGCAATAGTAGGTACCCGGAACAGGTGGGAAATTTGTCTGAGCATGCGCGAGTAAAATGAGCCACGCAATTGCGTGGAATACACGCAACGCGTGTTTACAAAAAGGCACAATCGTGTAAATATTGCCAAATATTTGTACAAAATAAATAACTGTTTTATGTTGAAAGAGTGGACATGATCTAAATTAATCATACAGAATTTTTTAGTGACGTTCTATTTCCGTACCCTGCCATTGTCTCTGGTGGGCTGTCCGTGTGCATTCGATCTGAAACAGTTGCTACTTTGCTGTCGAAGAATTTCGAATGTTTACATGAAAATAGAGGCAAGTCATGCATTTTACAACCTCTCAAACTGTATGAGCCCCTATTTTTACGCTTATACCTAAGATATCAGATATCAAGTAAACTTGTCAAAAACTTGAATGAATATAAAACGAAACTATACTTCACTATCAAAGTTTCTGTCATCAAAATCGACAATTAATGACTTTAATCACAGAAACTTTGACCGTGTAAGCGAACCTTTAAAGTTCAGAAGATATATCTATTTTCGGCAAAATGTCCGTTCGTCAAACTGTCCGTTCGGCAAAATGTCCATTCGGCAAAATGTCCATTCGGCAAAATGTCCGTTCGGCAAAACGTCCGTTCGGCAAAACGTCCGTCGGCAAAATGTCCGTTCGGCAAAATGTCTTTCGGCAAAATGTCTTTCGGCAAAGTGTCTTTCGGCAAAATGTCCGGCCACCGCAATAGTATACTACAGTTACTGTACGTAGTATGAATCTACTAATACACAATATTATACAATATATACTTCAACTGATACCTTTATCCCTCCAGCTAACCAGATCATCACACAATGCTTTTTCATCAGCCGGTGGTAGATTCATCTTCTTCACTAAAGAGTCCATGTCTTGAAAGGCGTCCATGAATGCGGGTTTGGTCCAATCCGAAAAGTTACAATGGGCCCACTTATTTCTGATGTTTGACCTTACTATCTTTGCTTCAACTGCAGCGCCAGATGTCACAAATGGATCTGCTTCACACATAATTGCCAAAACTGCAGACATGTCCATAGTTTGGTCAAAAGCAGTAAATTTCGCCATGAAAGGTTGGACAAACAACTTTGCCAAAGACAATGGATCTTTAACTTTAAAGTCATAAGCTTTGGGCGACTTGTGGACATTGTTGTTGTTGATGTTCTCGTATTTTAAAGAGAACGTTGATGGAGGTAGTTTCTTTTTATGTTTGGAAAAAACTTGCTTGTGAATTTCATCGGGTGGTCGACACAGCAGATGATACCAGTTCTGTATCTCAGTTGCAAGAACATTTCTTAACTGAGGAGTAAGAACTTTGTTAATACAAACGCCAACCACAGCCCATCTTCGTTCTTCATCTGATATACCGGTACTTGAAGTGGTAGTTATGGCACTTGCCATTGGTGATCTAGAAATTACACACGAAAAGTGGTGTCATACTCGTTCACAGGTTGACAGTTTGAATATAACAAGTGACCCCTTTATTCCAGATCAAAATGCTTTACACAGCTGTAAAGATACTCATTAATAATTCATAAACCTTGTGGCAAATCATGTCAGCCATAATACGTCACGTGGAGTGACTTTTATATCTAATAAAACATATGTGGCATTACATATGTGGCATTGGTAATGACAAACCGAAACATTGGTAAGATAAATATAAATATGACAAATATCTTTGCGCAACAATGTTTCCCAGTTTGTCCCGGACTTTAAATTAAGGGATATTTATATAAACTCCTAGGAAAACCTCTGATTGAATTTTAATGTATTATTGAATACTATCAACTATGCAAAATATGTTTGGCGCTTCTTAAATTGTGCGTTCCATCCATCGCTTAAGTATATTCTATGATACCAATCTTGGATTTGGACCAACTTTTCCATTCGTTCCAACCATCTTTTCCAACCGACGAAACCGCACTGCACCAGTGAACGACGTTTAACCATGAAAGAAACATCTCCCAGGCACCAACACGAAATTCGTCATTAAAAAGATAAATTGGGAGGAAATATAAAATCCATAATTTCAACATAACTACAGCTGAAAGAAATGTTTTCATCCTTCAGCTCATATTTTTATGCAATAAAATCCCACTTATTGGGTCCTGGCCAAGAGCCTACGCTCAAAACGAGATTGCATGTATTCTGGAATAAGCTGTCCTAGCTTTTGTCTGGTAAAGTTCTACTATATATTATATTGTGACATAAGTTGGTATTTAGCTACTATCTAGAATAACAAGGAACGATTCAACCTGGTTTTTCGTGCCCACACTGGTTGACGTTTTCTTTTAGATTTGCTACGGCGCCAGGACGTGTTTGAGCTCCCCCACCAGGGTATAGAATAAAGATCCATATAGAAGGGCCACTTACGTCGGAAGCTTTGAAGTTTCTGTCCTCGCGCATGTCGCATTACGCATATTGGCCGCCATTTTCCTAGCCAGTCAATGACATTTTCTGGCCAATAAACACGCTGTACTGGCTGGCTGCTCCGCCTTCTGGCCAGTAAACTGCATATTTTTGCATAAAAAAACGAGGACACGTTGCACCGCTGAGTGGCCCTTCTGTTACTGATCTTCATTCTGTGACCAGGGTGCGTCTCAGCTTCTCAGTCATGACCATACTGTTAACCCTGTCCATGAAAGGGATATACTTGTTTATAATATAAATACTGTGGATCCGAATGAGAATATCGAATAAGTAAATAAATACTGATCTACTGCACTGCGCAGATAATACCTACGTGCATTACCATCACAGTTCTACAAATACGCCATCGAATCCAGTGTAGTCGCCATCAAGTCCGAATAATAGGCCACCAGCATTGTCATCATCTGACAAATTGTTCTCGTCTTGGGCACTCGCAACAGGAACAAAGACCAGTACTCTTCAATTCTGCTTTTTGACAGGCACAACGTCTTGTTGAACATGTAATATATTATAGACGACTCAATTAGTTGTATTTTACTCCGTATTAAAGATTTTCTCATAACATCAATTCGAATCCAGACTCTAGTTCATTAGTTCAATTCTTCAACAAAAATCCCCCGAACAACACCCTATTGTTTTATAGTCCACGCCCTTATGACGCGTACGTATTGTCCTATTTATAAATGTCTATTAACTTAATAAACAATATCTCACACTCCCCCCTTGACCAGTCACAACTGGTCAATCATGGACTGTCTTTTCAAGTCTGCGTTTGCTGCCGCTATTCTCCTTTGTCTTGTTGGTTTTACTTCGTTCTGAATGTCTGCATCGTCTTTTGGATCCTTGCTGTCCTCGTTTTTTCTTTCTTCCTTGATCTCTAATGGCACAAGCTTTTGAATTGGACGTCGTAATACGATTGGCTTCCCTTTCTTATTCAACGCTCGTAACTTTACACCTCGTACTTCACCGTCTTTACTTTTAAGCAAAGCTTCAACTCTACCGATCTTCCATTGACTCCTAGGTAGATATTCTCCTTGCACAAGAACTACTTCCCCAACTTCTACTTCCCGAACCGTATTGTTGGTATATGTAGTATTTCGATGAAATTCCCGTAGGTCAGCTGAGTACTCCTTCTTCTATCTCTTCCAGAAGTGCTGCAACAATTGACTCAAGTATCGTTGTCTCCGTACAACTGCATTACTATCTTCCTCACTGTCACTAAATTCCTCTGGATCTGGTAATGTTGATATCCGCCTTCCGATTTCGAGATGTGATGGTGTCAATGGTTCTCCGTCAGACAATTCCGAATATACGCACTGTAAGTCAATGGGCGAGAATTGAGTGATCCCTCAACTTCTGTCAACACCGTCGTTAACTCTTAAAATGTTAATCTCGCATTTCCGAGTATTTTACGCAGACTCCTCTTAACTAGCTGTACCATACGTTCATAGTATCCACCCCGCCATGGGGCACGTTCCAATATGAAGTTCCATTTGATCCTAACAGTTGCCAGTTTCGTACCTTTGAACAATTCCGCAAGTTCCTTATCTGCCTTTTTAAAGGTCTTAGCGTTATTCGATGTAATGGGTACTGGAGTTCCTCTCCTTGCTATAAAACGTCTTAAACAACGAATAAAGGCTATAGTTGATAAGTCATGTACTAGTTCCAAATGTAGAGCTACTTCACACATCGATTAAGAATGTATCTCACCAATTGACGACCTTTTGGAATCCAATATTTACTCCTCAACTCTGTTAGTGTCTCCTTTATTCCTCCATGTTTGTTGACTTTCTTGTGACAGGACTCCACGATCAATTGAGTAATGCTGTATCTCTCGGCAAGAGAATTGGACCCCTTGTTTCCACGTTAGAAGATGCATTCTCCATTCTTTTTTTACATCTGATAATGATCTTTATCGGCATAAAGTCCGAGTTGGTTGGTCAAATCTTGGTAATTCTTCTGTTTATTCACATGTTCCTGTATTTCTCTGATCCAAATTTTCTCTGCATCATTAATTTCCTCAATAGTGAGTGTGCTTGGCTTTAACAATGGATCAATTTTACCACAGGCTTTCTTCGTTTTGAGATTTCTAATGAATCTCTTAACCCACGCTGTAACACGAAACAACTTGGTTACGCTACTGTAAGACTTGTGGTCTATTATCTCTGAGAGTTTTGTTGAACCGACTGTTTCTGGTGGATGTGTTTCACTAACATTTGCCACATTAACCACCGTGGTATTCCCCTTGGTAGGTAATTTAACGCGACATTCTTTCATGCACTCGTCGGTGAGTTCTACATCACTTTGTGCAAACTCAGGATCTGGGTATGCAGAGGGATCAAGTGTTAACCATTGCGGGCCTTTCCACCATAAATCATTTTGTGCTAGTTCTGAGGCCTTCTGTCCACGAGAACCAATATCCGCTGGGTTTTCTAAACCTGGTCAAAATCGCCAAGTTTCCGAATCAGTTAATCGTAGAATTTCGTCGATTCTGTTTTGTACAAATTGTTTATAATCTTTTTTACCCTTAATTCAGTGAAGGACAGTGGAGCTGTCCGTCCAACAAGTGGTCTCCATGATGTTAAAGATTTTGCTTAGAGTCTCTTTAACAACTGATATGAGACGTGCTAACATCAATGCTGCAATTAGCTCAAGTCGAGGGATAGACATTGGTGCTAATGGGGCGACTCTACTTTTGAGGCGACTAGATTTGTTGTGCAGCCACTGTCTGTTTCCAAGCATATATAAATGACAGCACAACAAGCCTTTTGGGAAGCATCTCCAAATCCGTGAAGAGTCACACTCTCAGGATGCCTCTCCTCTTCCAAAAAGTAATATCTAGGTACAACTATAGAACTCACCGTCTCTAAATCATCAATCCATTTCTCCAGCACTTCTGGTTGGATTCTGATATAACTGCATCCCATTCATACTTAGCTGCACACAATTCTTGTAGAAGCATTCTCAGCAAGACAGTAACTGGCGAGAGAAGTCCGAGTGGATCAAAGAGTTTTGCTGCTATCTTCAAAACGTTCCGTTTTGTTGGCTCTAAATTTCTTGCAAATTGAACAACTTTTGTTAACTTTAAAACAAAAGTATCACTGTCAGTATCTCAATTCATCCCAAGTACCTTATGTTCCTTCGAAGTTTCTGTTTCTTCCAGACCGCCAATTGACTCTTTAGCATATGAACTTTCACCGGTGTTGTTCAAATGCTGTGGTTAGTGACTTTAATACTTCCTCGTCATTCTGAATCTGATCCATCAATACTGGACTATTGGTAGCCCATTTCCGTAGATTAAAATTGCCAGCTGCGAAACAAGATTTCATCTGCCGATACATTGTATATGCATCATCCGTGGATTCTCCTCCTCCTGACCAATCATCAACGTAAAATTCTTTCTGCAAAGCCAGGGTCATCATAATAGTAATTCATAATGTGGTGACGTAATGTTGCATTCAGGAGAAATGGAGAGCATTTCATGCCAAAAATAACCCTACAGAAGCGGTAGACTTCTACATATGGATTGTCCTTGTTTATGTCATCGATCCACAAGAACCGCATCATGTCCTTTTGTTCCTCATCAATAGCAACATTGAGAAAAGCTTTCTCAATATCTGCAACCATTCCAATTCTCCGTCTTCGAAAACCCAAAAGAACCTTTAGAATATCTGTAGCCAGGGAAGGTCCAGTGTGAACGCAATCATTCAGAGATGGGCACTTTGGTTTAACTTTCGCACTGGCATCGTAAACAACTCGCACCTTTGTGGTGGTTGCATCTTTTCGTACCACTGCTTGGTGTGGGAGATAGCGTGTAGTGCCTGGTACTGAGTCTTCATTTGGATCTTCAACCTTTTCAACAATTCCTTGACTTAATTGCTCTTTAAATATCTGGTTGTATTCCTCAAATAGACTGGGTTCTTGCCTTAAACGTTTCACTTGCGAGTCTAGTCGTGCTAGACTTAAACCATAATTGTCCGGTAAAATATCATGTTTTTCTTTCAGGGGTAATTTAACGTGATATCTACCCTTCTCAAAAGATACATTTCTTTCAAATGACTCATGCACCGTCTCTTTGTCTGTTATACCAATTGACTCTAAATCCCACAGACGATGTAATAACTCCTCAGGTTGTTTTTCATTCTCCACACTTGGCAATTCGGCTGCTAAGCCTACTCTCAATACATGAGTTGAAACAAAGTTCACAGAAGACAGAGTAGTTTTCTTTCTTGATGATGACATTGGGCCTGACAAAACCCATCCCAGGATTGTTTCGCTTGCAATTGGACTATTGGCATTCTCCCCCCGTCTTATCTTGCCAGTGAAAAATTTACCGATTTGATCCGCTCCGATTAATAAATCTATCTCTGCTACACCGTCCCCTTCATTATTATCGGCCAAGTTTAAGTCACTCAAATGTTTGTACTCTACTTGGGCTCGGTCAATTTCTTGATTTCCTAGCGGTGCACAAATCACTGGCACAACAAATCCTTCTACTTGTGTTCTAGTTCTACCAGTAATGTCCCCAACTGCTAAGTTCACTATCTCACAAGAAGCAGTTAGTTCAGTTTCGCATTCCCCGAATGTTTTTATTCGTAAAGACTCTGTACTTCCTGTGGGCAATTGCAACTTATTTCGCACTCGTTGCGTTAAATAACTTCTCTGGCTGCCCGAATAAAAAATAACTCTTATCTCAGTGGTCAACTTCTTGTTTCCAACGCCAACTTTCGCCTTGGCTGTTTGTAATAAGACCGAATCTTGTAAACATACCTGATAATTTCTGGTCTCTTTCGTGCTTCCTGTGTTTTTCGTGTCCATTGATTGTGTTGTTTGTTCTTTATCTAGACTATCTTGTACATTTCTTAATTGCTGTCTGGAATTTAATTCTTGTCTCGTTGCTAGGGACTGTCTCGAATTTGTTGCTAAGGACTGTCTCGAATTTATATTACACAGACTAACATGATGCTTTCCCGAGCAATATTTGCACATATACCTTGATTCGCAATCCCGAGCGATATGATTTCGTTTGAGACACAAAAAACATCGTCCTTGCTTTCGTAAGATCTGTTTTCTTGCTTCGATATCCGTAACAACAAAACAACTAGCTGACGTATGTTCTTTTTGACAAAACGAACAGTTAATAGTTGTCTTATCCGCGCTGCTGCCGTAAATGGCGTGTTCGAATATTTTCTCCCTCCTCGTTGTTCGTTGGAATTTCGACCGTCTCTAAAAGATAAAGCTTGAATTCCTTCGCATCTTTCCCGGTTTTCCAATTCCTCGCGAAAATTCTCAAGTAACGTATTCAAATTCCATGTTTCGCCTGTCATGTTGCGTAAAATGCGTATTTCGTCGGGTATTTTGCCAATTAAAATCGGTAATAACAACGCTCCGTAATCCGTGTCTGGCACGTCTAACGATTTTAGCCCTCTCACGTGTACTTCGATTTGATCGTAAAGACGCCGTAATCCTTTAGTATCGGTAGATGATCGTAGTTGTGTGAGTTTTAATAAACTATCCATAATTAATAAACTATGGCTACTAATGAAAACTTGTTTGTCTCCGAATCTTTGCTGTAATAGTTCAATCGCAGTTTCATAGTTACTCTCTGTCAACGATAAACCCTCGATCGTGGCTGCTGCGGACTTTTCCAGTAAACTTTTTAAGTAATTGAATTTATCCACGTCGGATAACCCCGGATTCTCATGTATTGCGCACTTAAAACTGTCCCAAAATGCTTGCCATTCGCATGGCTGTCCATCAAATTGTTTTAGAGTAAGTTTTGGCAACTTTGCATGTTTTATTGTCGGTTGATAATGTCCTGGTGTAGATAGTTGCTGTGACTCGCTCATACTCATAGACATAGTTTCATTAATCGGTTTGGCCTCGAGCACACTGTCGATATTTACAATCATTTCGTGTACACTCTCGCGATATTTTCCTGCTTCTTCGATCTCGGTAGATATTTCCTCGTCAGCTTCGATAAGCTGTAGAATCTCTTCGTCAAGGGTCTTTGAAGTGTCCAATCGTTCTTTTAGAGTGATCCTGATTTGCTTTAGTTTCTTCTCTTGATTTCCATCGTAGTTCTGATCGAACAATATCATCGGCATTGCCCAGAATCTTCGTAAGATAAGTTCTATGACCCTGTCGTATCTTTATTTTCTTCTTGATATTACTCATTTTATCCTCAATTTAATCCGGCTCGAGGGAGCATGTAATATATTATAGACTACTCAATTAGTTGTATTTTACTCCGTATTAAGATTTTCTCATAACATCAGTTCGAATCTAGACTCTAGTTCATTAGTTCAGTTCTTCAACAAAAATCCCCCGAACAACACCCTATTCTTTTATAGTGCACGCCCCTTATGACGCGTACGTATTGTCCTATTTATAAATGTCTATTAATAAACAATATCTCACAGAACATCCAACTTCGTACCAGGGCCAGCACAAAGAGAACCCTGGGTACGAGGTTGTTGAACATCCAGACTTACAACCACAGTTAACGTTTCCAGAATTCCACCAGGAGTTCCCGGCATGGTCATCCATCTGATATTGACTAGTTGCCTTTGGTTTACTACCAAACTCGCTGATCGGGGGTGGCATAACTGGTTGGAGACTTGGAGTGCACTTTTTCATATGCGGCATTGATATAATGTATGATCGATTTGTATGAACTAAAAGAACGTCAACAAAACGTTGTGCCTGTGAAAAAGCATAATTGAAGTGTACTATTCTCCGGACCAGAATACAGACGAGAACGATTTGTCAGATGATGACAATGGTGATGGCCTATTATTCGAACTTAATGGCGATGACACAGGATTCGATGGCATATTTGAAGAACGGTGATGGTAATGCATGTAGGTATTATCTGCGCAGTGCAGTAGATCAGTACTTATGTGGGCACGAAAAACCAGGTTGAATCGTTCCTTGTTATTCTAGATGTGTGTAGAGTGGCTAAATACCAACTTATGTCATATTATAGAATATATAGTAGAACTTTACAAGACAGAAACCAGGACATCTTATTGTAGAATACATGCAATCTCGTTTTGAGCGTAGGCCCTTGGCCAGGATCCAATAAGTGGGATTTAATTGCATTGATAAAAATCTGGGCTGAAGGATGAAAACATTTCTTTCAGTTAGATAGTTATGATGAAATTATGGATTTTATATTTCCTTCCAATTTATCTTTTTTTATGACGAATTTCGAGTTGGTGCCTGGGAGATGTTTCTTTCAGAGTTAAACGTCCATCACTTGTGCAGTCCGGTTTCGTCGGTTGGAAAAGATGGTTGGAACGAATGGAAAAGTTGGTCCAAATCCAAGATTGGTATCTATAGAATATACTTTTAAAAGCGATGGATTAATGATTCAATCAGAGGTTTTCCTAGGAGTTTATATAAATATCCCTTAAAGCCCGGGACAAACTGGGAAACATTGTTGCGCAAAGATATTTGTCATATTTATATTTGTTTATACCCATGTTTCGGTATGTATCTTACTAGCATCGGCAAACGGAGAGTGTTTCATCAAATGCTTCTGAAAATAAAAGCCAATGTTTCCAGATATGGAATACAGGGAAACATTTGAGCAAACATTGAAAATCACGAACTGATTTCCGCAACAATGCCCTTACGTTTGGCCAAGGCTTTAGTTTAGCGAAATATTTAATTTGTTTCTTGCTCGCGCGTGTGAATTGTATGTATATATTTATATATTCTCCGTCCTGTTTGATACAGGTGGGTTTTTACCTCACACAAACTTGTATTGAATTAGGATGTTAAAAATTAGAATTAAACGTTGAAACGGTATTTTGAGAAACAGTAGTCAACTAGAGGGCACTCAGAGACTGCATACCTCCGCCTACGCGCAAAATATTGAAGTAATCTATTGTTATTAGAATTTGAATGGCTGGTGCATATATTATGCACGTCCTAATTACGCATTCAGTATAAAGTTTTATTTAATTGACCGGGAAAAGCAAGACAAACTTTTGGTATTTCTCATTCAATTTTTAACCAAATTCAACCAAATTTTAATCAGTTCTTCCTTAGCCGATGGGAAATGCACGCACAAAATTTCGTACGGATATGTTTGGTATTTCTTGAGTTATCGTGCTCACAGACAAACACACATACATACACACATACATACACACACACACACACACACACACACACACACATACACACACACATACAAACCCAGATGATTACACAACCTCCTGGCGGAGGTAATGAATTGAAGTGACTTAGCATATAAGCAACCAAAATGTACAATGTGTTTTAAACAATATATAGATTGTGTGTATTTATTCGTTATTACAAGGTTTGATCTCTACTCCGTGATTTTATTTTGTTGTTTTTACGGGGGAAATCGGGGGAAACTCACAGGGAAAATCCATTTTTCCGGTCTGCGCATGCGCAGTGCGAGTTCGGCTGACATGCGCATGCGTATTCGCTACCAAAACAATGGCGGTTCGAATATTTCGAAGCGGGAAAATATCAAACTTTGGAGGAATATTTTCCCAATTGTGCACCTGTTTCGCTTGGGGAGCAACGGATTCTGATAATTTTAAAAGTAAGTTTTTATCTATTGATTCACGCGAAAATTATGTAGTTCCGAGGGGTGCAACGAAATCCGTTTTCTAAGCATCTTTTGGATGCTCATCCAACGGCCTACTACATAAGTAAAACAATATCTAAGCAGTTTGAATTTTAGGAAACAAATGTTTCAAACCTACAGTTGCTATAGCGACAATGACGTTTCAATATGGCGAATATTTTGACATTTAAAAAACAACATCAGTGACCCTCAATTCTTATTTCATAAAATGATTTCTCTTAGTATATTGAATGTCTGAGTGACAATTTCAAAAATAGGTACGCGACGCATACATGTATCTGCGAAAAAACTTGATTCACATTTTCACCACTTATTATAATAAATATAATAGCAAATAAGATTTTAAAGTCAAACTTAGTACAAATCTAACAAGGCTGTAGACAGCACAGAGGGCAACAGGGGCAACTCAACCCCCCTCCGCCGAGAAAATTTAACTAATTTTATGTGATTATGATTGTAACTCGGATAATTATCCAGTCAAAAAATAAAAATTTCATGCAAACAATATTCGAAGTGTCTATTTAGTAAACTGTCACTTGTCAATCGATACCCATTTTCAAAACTTTATTGTAATCATATGAAGCAAAAGTTCTGTCACTTGTTGTTTACACTTGCCAAGGTTAACTGTTGAGTAACATACACAAACTATTCGAGGAACATGCATCACTGTAGCAAAGAGTCAATCATATATCGAAGACCACTGAATAGTAGAGAATGTTCAATGTTTTGAAGGTCATGAGTGAAGTATATAATTCAATTCCAATCCTGTGCACAGTTAATGATATACCACACTGTTCGGTTTAACACAGCATATCCACACAAAAACAATTTGTGTTGTGGGGAATATCGGTTTGAGTAGAAGGTATCACAAGTTTAGTTTTGACTTATTGTGCCATTGATCTGATCCACCCATATAATATATGATTATTGCAGCTGTTAAGATAATATTATCCATAACAAGACGCCTACTCAGGCGTTCACTCCGGGTACAGGGCCTTAACTAAGCGCAAAGCTACTTTAACGTATGCTTATGTACGGCAATGAAGGTATCTTTAATGCATGATATTTAGCATATTAAAGTTGGAAAAGTGGGAGAACTACAGTGTAACCACTTGACCAGGTGACTAAAAACATATGCAATGATCATAATATTTGATAACATAAAAATAAAAGGACATTGTGACACTGATTATCTCTAATAAAAGCTATCTAGTTCTTTATTAAAAGTTCTATTTAAAACATGCGTAGGAGTGTTTTATGAGGGGGAAGGGGGGCTCGTCACGAAATCACGAAGATCATTTTTCGATTTCACGAGTCACGAAAAACAAAATTTCATTTCACGATTTTGCACATATATACTAACACATGCATACTGACTTTAACATTAGAGCCGTTTAAAGGCAATGGAAATCATTGCGAGGCATTACGAGCATCGTACGATGGTTCACGAATTTTACGAAGAGGTACGAAGGTATACGATAACGACGTTTACCGATGAAACGAAGAAACCTCAAGAACTAAGACAACCGCGGGAAGCAAATTTATAATTTTTTCCCCATAATATTATATTTGGGCCGAGTTTTAAACGTAAACATTCACAAGTTAGGGTAAAATATTTGTAAATTCAAGACCATAGCTAGCCTTTTAGCTCTTCACGATTCACGGCACGCATATTAATCACGATTCACGGAATGGTATTCCTTTAAATCACGAATCACGAATAACTGCTAATCACGAGTCACGAAAATACCCTTGCCCCCCGCTTTTATCGAGTCGTATATAATAAGTCGGAGGCCGTATTTTACAAATATTTTATGTTTTTTTTTTATTGTCGAGGGTAGAAATTCGAGGGTGAAAAGCTTTAGGGTACATTTTAATCAGGGGCGCCGGAATATCGATAATTGCGGGGGCAGATATTCGTGTTCACAGACTGTAGAAACAATCGATTTCAAAAGAAATTAATTGGGCAGAACACGAATAAATGATGATATTAGCCCCAATTGTCGATATTCCGGCGCCTATGATTTTAATAATTTAACAAAATAATAATTTTATCTCGTGTTCATTTACTTTACTTTTAATTTTTAGCTCTTATTTTTATATTACAATTATTAATTTTTCATATGCGATTACTTTTTATATGATAAAATATTGCTACATAAAAATAGACATGCCGATCAAAAGCTACAGTCGAGATAGTTTCAAACGGCGTGATGCATTATCTGCGTTATCTCGGATTGGCGGGATAGCATGTCGCAAATTATTGTATTGTCTATTCACTATATGGTCCATTGAATCAGAGTAATCAGGACTTGTTTACACCTTGCCATTGCTATACGCCTTTTCCGGGTTCGCGACGCCATCTTGAAAGTATTGTTTTCGCTATTGCCTTGCCCCACTTGCAAATTTATCTATAGGGAATGCCCGCAAATTTCTACCCTCGAAAATAAAAACCATAAAATATTTTGAAATACGACCCCGGACTTTTTATATATGACCCTCGACTTTTTGATATGACCCTCGACTTTTTATATATGATTTTTCGACCCTCGCTTCCCACCCTCGACCCTCGAGAACAACTCCTGTAACTGAATTACTAAAAATAGCTAACGTAAACAAACCACATTTATCAAACACGCAAAGAAAATTATTTAAAAAGTAATATATTGTTAGTCGTGTCATATAGTTAATTGTCAACACTTTTTCAATGCATGGTAGTAAGTTCATAACTGGCACCATAAGTCATAATTAAGTTATGTTGATATTTTGTTTATACAGATTGATTGTTTTAATTTGTAAGGCTCTGTAAGTTTGTTATTATCAAACGTTTAGATATAAGCATCGATCTTAGTAATGAATATTTTACTTTAAACCAAGACAATGCAGCTGTCGAGACCGATTTTTAATACTCTATAAATAAAACTAATATTAAACTGTGTAATAGACGTAATTGTGTCGGGTAAAGCTATCTAGTTATATATATTTTAGGCCACATAAAATAAATTCCTTGATTCTCATCACTACACTTTGAAAATGTCGAAGAGGCGGGAGGTTTATATTTTATATTTTATATTTATATCATAATTTAATATATATATCAATAAATAAAAGTGTCACAAATTGAAATATATAAACATATTTCTCCACGAACAATGACTGGCCCTTGAACTGAATGCGACGTTCCGTTAAAATGCAATGAAATTTCTTTCAAGGTTCTATTGGTTTGAAATTGGCAGTTTAAAATGGCACTAAAAACCCAATATAAAATATAAAAAACTTAACTGTCTTGAAATATTTTGTCGGGCGGTACATTTATATTAAATTAACAAAATTTTAAAAATTTCACGCGGCTCTTAAAAAACAGTCGGGCGGTGATGAGAATCAATGAATTTATTTTATGTGGCCTTATATGCGCTTTTGTCTAATTCAAGCGTGGTAGACAATATTGCCAATATTGTGGTTTGCGATATAAATTGCCTCGCGAATTGAAGACTTTCAGATATGTCATATGTCGAATAGATTTGTGCGTTGTTTGTACTTCAATTTCGGCCACGAGGCACAAAGGGAGACTTAAAGAACACGAGTGACGAGTATTAACACAATTTAACTACGTACAGTGTTGAAAAAATTAAAAAATGCAGGCTATTATAAACGTCAGTAACAAACCAAGCCATTTGTCGATCAGAACTAGCTTTGCAATAACGGCAACCGCTACTGTGGTCACTCTATGAACTGTGGTCACTGTATAAAAACGAGTGTATGAGAACCCCTCCATTTGACAATATTTACTGTAAATAGAACTAAATACATTGTAAACACAACGCTCGCTCCGACCTTACTACGAATGGCGGCTATTTTTAGATATTTCGTATTTTTGTAGTGCGTTGCATACCTGTG